GTTGTCATCCGTATCATCGGACGGCAGGATGACCCCTGCGGGCAGTGGGATATCTGCAACAGGCAAAACCATGCACAGCCACACCCACGCACGGACATGAATACATTCCTGATCAGGAAACCCAAGTGAATATTGCATCTGATTCCATATCAGTTAAGGAAAACCAGGAGCCAATCGACGGAGGAACGAAGGAGGACAGCTCATCTTACATTCATCAGTCACCCTCTCCCTTTATTCCTTCTTTTCTTTTTGTCTTTTTCTCTTTTTCTAATCTTTTAACCTTTTAACCTTTTGCAAGGAAAATGAGCAATAGCGAAATGACAGACTTCTCGAATGCAAAAATCACAATGAACGCCAGATAGTCGAATACTGTCCACCACCAGTGTAAGCGAAAATGTCCAGAACGCAGAAATGCACTGATATCCCACCAAAGGAGAACCAAAGCACCAATCTCAATTTTGTTAATGAAAGCATGATCTCGCCGCCGCCACCAACGATGTCTTTCGAAGCTCTACCTCCTATCGGCGCTAGGAGGTAGAGCTTCGAAGACATTGTTCGTGGCGGCAGCAACCGAAGTACATGCAGACGTCGACCTTGTAGCCGACCGCCATGACCAGGTACGTCGACCTTGTAGCCGACCGCCATGAACAGGCACGTCGACCGCTAGGGAGGTAGAGCTTCGAAGAAGACATTGTTGGTGGCGGCAGGAACCGAAGTAATTGACTAAGACGCTACAGCTACCTATCAGCCTACGACATGAGAAAGCAACTGGTTGACGTCAGCAGCAGCAACCAAAGTGCATGCAGACGTCGTCAACCTTGAAGACGACCGCCATGACAAGGTACGTGCCCTCAATCTTTGAAGTTTTAACCGTTTTCTTTTAACCAGCTTTAACCCAGGAGAGATCAATGTTGATGCACTCAGACGAAACTGCTAGTTTCAGCTTCCTCCGATTTTCAAGCTTGTTTCCACATTAATAATGCAAATGGATTTTGTTGGGAAGAAGGCGATAGAGCTCATAAGCGAGGATGCTGATGAGCAGTGGGCCAGCGCAGCATGTTTTTTTTTGTTTTTTTTTTTGAGGATCAAATATTTTTTACTACTGAGCGAGCTTATTATTAAAAAAAAGCTGATCCGAAGCCACTGAGCAACTACGTCCCACTTGCCACTTATGCGAGGATATGCTTTCCATTTTCTTACTGTTGATCTCCCCTATGAGATTGCATGGGATTGGATGAGATCATCGCACCAAGAGGCAGTCCCACTAGCAAAGAGGATTGGATTTAATGCCTGAATGTGGATGTGTTTGTGGAGAGGTGCAGGTAATTCACGTTTGATATGCCTATCTGCATCTCTGCTTAATTCACATCCAGATTCAGGCCAGGCGCCCAATCGAATCCTTCCATTTTTTTACTGTTGAATCTCCCCTACATGAGATTGCATGGGATTGGATGAGATAATCGCACCAAGGGGCAGTCTCACTAGCAAAGAGGATTGGATTTCATGCCTGAATGTGGATGTGTTTGTGGAGAGGTACAGGTAATTCACGTTTGAGATATGCCTGTCTGCATCTCTGCTTAATTCACATCCAGATTCAGGCCAGGCGCCCAATCGAATCCTCTTTGCTAGTGGTCCCGCACCTGACCGAGAGAGTCAATGGTAAGAAACAGACAATAAAGATAAGCGGAACCTTAAAAAGAAAAACGAAAAAGAAAAACGGGGAAAATAAAACAAAAAAAAGGGGGTGGAGGTGGGGGGGCGGAGGGAATGAAAGGAGGGAGGGAGGGAAAGGAACAGAAAAAAAAAAAAACAGACCGAACAATGACAGAACGAGCTGGGATCAAAAGAAGACACTATTTCAATTCCTATTCCAGTTTACGGCAACTTCAACAGCAACCGCAACGGCAACGGAACGGCAACTCCAGTTTACGGCAACGGCAACGGCAACGGCAACGGCAACGGAACGGCAACGGAATGGCAGCTCCAGTTTACGGCAACGGCAACGGCAACGGCAACGGCAACGGAATGGCAACTCCAGTTTACGGCAACGGCAACGGCAACGGAACGGCAACGGAATGACAACTCCAGTTTAACTCCAGTTTACGGCAATGGCAACGGCAACGGAATGGCAAAAGTTATATTTTCTAATCAGGCTAACCCCCCCCAACCCCCGGCCCCCCCCCCCAAAAAAAAAAACAGAGACTCACCATCATCCGGCAGTGTATCGCGCATCCATTCGTAATCCACCACATCAAGTAACACGCCCAACAACGACTCCGCCATAGCTAGGCAGCTAGGCAGCTATCTGCCGGTCGGGTCCGGTCGGGTCCGATCGGGGTCAACTGCAAGCAGCGGCAAGGTGGCCCGCTTTTCTACTGACCGCCACCCCTTCACCGGAGTCAAGGTCCACAGATTCCAGACCACTCGTGGATAATGTCGAATAAGAGGGAGGGAGGGAGGACGGGGCAGGTAAGGGGTGCACAAACGGTGAAAAATGCCAGGGGTGTTCTGTTGCCTGCACAGGACGACATCCATCAAAATCGAGAAAACATATTAGCACAGCCCAAACTGGGCGGACACCAAGCACCCTAGATTCAAATTTCAGACGGAAGTAGACTTAGGAAATAAGTAATAAAAATTGAAAATTCATAATCACAAAATTCATAATCACAAAGGCGCAGAGTAGTCAAACACAAGTGCAAAAAATCAAGCACGACACTCTATGGGGAAAAAGAAGGAAAAAAAAAGAAAAGAAATAGGTGTGGTGGTCAGGCTGTTCCAATGAGCTTCCTTCGCTTTCCCTAAATACCAGTAATATGGAATCAAATGCAATATCCTCGCGGGTTTCCTGATTAGGAATGAATGAATGTATTTAACATTTATTACTTATGTTTGTGGGTGTGATTCTTGTTCATTTTTTTGCCTGCACAGATAACCCACTACTTAGGGTGAGATCCCACTGCCCTGGATTATTCATTCTTCACCCTCGATTACGAAGATCAACGGTCAGAAATGAACAATAGGGGCTAGTGGGATCTGGCCCTTACTTACTCCCTGTAGACAAATCCTCTCCGCACTTTTTAGGCGAGGATGAGATCCGAGACGAGATCCCTTGCGTGCGAAAAACGTGCTGCAGTATATGGGAAAATCTGTTCCTCTCGCTTTTTCTCCCCGCCTTCCACATCCATCGAGATCCCCGGAGACGGCTTCTTCACCGGGGAGGCAAAATGGAGACCGCTTCTTCACCGGGGGGGGGGGCAAAATGGAGACGGCTTCTTCACCGGGGGGGCAAAATGCAGACGCAAACTCCGGAGACAGATGCGCCGGAGGGCAACGCAGATGCAGATCCATCCTACACCCGGAGACGGCTGCGCCGCCGGAGGGCAATGCGCATGCAATGCCCCCCTTCCCCGGCTGCGTGGCTGCCTCCCGCGTCTGCGCAGTCCGGGTGGGACAGCATGGCTCACCTCCCCCGCATCTCCGCCGCAGTCAGGCTGCGCATGCACACCAAAACTTGCCGCCGCCGCCGCCGATATGCTGCTGCTTCTTCGGGTGATCACACCAATGGTGTGGTCAAGCGAAGGTGGACACATGGGTCCCATTGGCTCCTTCCAGCACACAAGAGTCGCACCCGCAGGGGGAAGATAGTATCCATCGTCCGGAACATTCGTACCGAGGAGGTCCTCTACAGGAGTTTCCTAGTCCAGACCTCTCTTCTCGTGTACTCCTGCGTGAGATCCCTCCCTCAGCCGGACATGTTCGGTACTTCTGCGGACATGTTCGGTACTTCTGCGTAGGGCCAGTCTGCCCACCCTTTCCCATCTCTAAACACACTCTCCGCCTGAAACTCTACGCCCAGCATTTTGCAAGTGACGCCCGCATACAACCCCCACCCTTTCCCATCTCTAAACACACTCTCCGCCTGAAACTCTACGCCCAGCATTTTGCAAGTGACGCCCGCATACAACCCCCCTCCGTCCACAGGGGACACCATAGCTCACGATCGCCATCTGCCAGCGTGACGCAGTTGACATCATCAAAAATTTGCGTCATCATCAACGACAAAACATGATTACTATGGTCCATGGCGCCGCCCTGTGGAGGCCTCCAATTGCCCATGAAGTACGACGGCCAGAAACTTTTCTGGTGGCCATCAGTCACGCCAAGGGGGGGGGGAAGGGGAAACTCGTCAACTGGTGCCTGTCACCATAGAACGGCGACAATGAGCCCACTACTGGTGTCCAACCAAAAACGGTGTCCATGTCCGCCTTGCACCACGCCGTCCTTCCTTCCTCCCTCCCCTTCCTTTCTCCCTCGCCTTCCTTTTCTCCGCCCGATCCCCGCCTGATCCCCGCCTGCTCCTCCTTCCGACCTGCCCCGATCTCTCCTCCCTCCCCTTCCTTCCTCCGGCCAAACTCCGCCTGACCTCCTGCCTCCTCCATTCCTCCCTCTACCCGCGCTTCTCCCTCCCTCTTTCCTCTCTCCGTCCGACCTCCCTTCTTCCTTCGCCCGTTCTCCGCCTGGCCTCCTCCCTCCTCCCTCCTTCCTTCCTTCCTCCCCTTCCTTCCTCCGCCCGATCTGCACCTCAATTCATTTGTTTTCTTCTTCTTCTCGTGGCCCTAAATGCAACCTTGGTGTCATGATTAGAAACATAAGGGTATATTCAAAATTTCACTACCCATGCGCGCGCGCGTGAAGGGGAGGGGAGGGAGAGGGGGACAAACGGACAGATTTACCTCGCCCTCTTCCTCCAGATCCTCCTCCGGTGTTCCTTCCTCACACCTTCTCCTTTGTCTGTCTCCTCCATCACTTATGGTAGGTTTCCCGCCTCCTCACGCTCTTTCCTCCTCCACATCCTCCTCTCGCTCTTTTTGGGCCGGCCTTGAGATATCGTCACGTCATCGAACAGTCCCGCGCCACGTTATTTCAAGCGATTGATATTTCTTCCAACAGCTAACGCCCTTCCTCCTCCATCCACCTCACGCTCTTCCTCCCTCATCCCCCACACCCACCATAGCTTCTCTCTGTGTGTGTGTGTGTGGCGCGCGACCTTTCTCACAAGATACAAGATAGCACAACGGAAGACTTAGATACCGATGACCCGATCAATCAAGCTGCCATGCAGACCAAACATGCATCATCATCATTCCATGGTGTGAAGGGGCTGATGCTCACACGGGAAGAATGTGTCAGTCCCCGCTCATGCACAGACGAAGAAGAGGGGGATGAGACGAAGGGGAGGGAGAAGATGGAAATGTCGTCAACACCAAGTCTTCGATACAGTCCCAAATAATCCCTCGCCAACGGTCCGAATCCCGATGCTGAGTCTGAACCCAAATGTCGTCAAATCCCAATGTCGCTCATCTCTCTCTCTCTCTCTCTCTCTCTCTCTCTCTCTCTCTCTCTCTCTCTCTCTCTCTCTCTCTCTCTC